TTGCACCCATTCCTTTGGATCATTTAAAAGGGCGTACCCAGTGCAGAGAGCTCCCGCTCTGTGCGGGGTTTGGGGAAGGGTGTCAGTGGCAAGCCTTACCCTTGCCTGTGCAATGCGAGGAGACCGCGACTCGAACCCGGGACCTTCCGGTCACAGGCGGTAAGACTCTACCGCTTGCACCAGGCCTGCCCTTCATTCCTTTGGATCATTTGTTGCAATTAATTTTCCTGCCTAACCATAAAGGCTATTTGATAGATTGGTAAAAGCAAAGAAAGGAAAAATGGTATTTACACCAATGACACTTTATTCTGTTCATCTTCTATATATTGCTCTGATGACTTTTTCTTTTGTGGTTGTGCTGTTTGCTTGACATGTCGAAACATATTGTGATCACAATGATGGAAGTTAAAGAAATGTGTGCTCATGTTAAGAAACTAAGCTTTGAACATGTAAATATCAGATCTGTTAAATTTAAAATCAGCAGGGGAAAAGGTTACGTTATGCCAGATTCTATTCACATGCACAGAATAAAATTTCTCCAGAATGCTATTACCATTTTCAGCTGTCTACAAACACTCACAATGCCATCTCTGACCTTAGTTGGTAATTTGTAAAGAACTGTTGGTAACAATCACTATATCTAAATTGTCTGATTGTTTATCCACAGGTGGTAGTGATTAGAGAGAAGCTTGCAGAGCTGTATGAGTCTGAACAACAATGGTCAAAAGCAGCACAAATGCTAAGTGGGATTGACTTGGACTCAGGAATCAGGTACAAACTGATTTGTCTTGACTCTTTTCATGTTATATGAATGGAGTTTTACATATTGACACGGAAGTTCTGGCTTATTCCTTTCAATCAGGATGCTTGATGACACCAACAAATTATCCAAGTGTGTCCAGATTGCACGACTCTATTTAGAGGTTAGTGCTCGTTTTTTGGTATGCCATCAATGCTCAGTGTTTGCTGAACTCATTTAATTCTTCTCTTCTTAGGATGATGATGCAGTGAATGCCGAGGCTTTTATCAACAAGGCTTCATTTTTGGTCACCAGTAGCCACCAGGAAGTTCTAAACTTACAGTACAAGGTTTGTTATTTTGGGAACAGTAGAACAATATATATATTTTTTTACATGCTAGGCAAAAGCTTGATTCTGCATTATATTTTTATTCCTTTTCAAGGTCTGTTATGCTAGGATTTTGGATCTGAAAAGAAGATTCCTGGAAGCTGCACTTCGATATTATGATATCTCTCAGATTGAACAACGCAAGATTGGAGATGAGTAAGGATTTGCAATATGTTCTTTTCATCGCAGCCTTAAAAAGTTGTTCTGCATGGTTATCCACTGCCTTGCTAGTGCCTAGTTTCTATTACTATGCTTTTCATTCATATTTCTCATCATTTCGCTCATTTTATGGATTTACTATTTCATACATAAGCAACATTTTGCTGTTTTGGAAATTGGTTGTGTGATTGATTTCGCAGCCTTAAAAGGTTATTCTGCATGGTTATCCTTTTGCCTTGCTGGTGCCTGGTCTCTATTACTATGCCCTTTATTGTTATTTCTTATTATTTCATTTGTTTTATTTTTATTATTAATTATTTCATATATAAGTAACATTTTTATGTTTCGTACATTGGTTGTGTGTGATTAGTTTTGCAAGTTATAACATGAGACATGTGGTTTTCCTGTTTTCTTCTAAACTGCAATGGTTATTCTGATGGAACCTAAATTGTATATGATGCCAGAGAGATTGATGAAAATGCACTGGAGCAAGCTCTTAGTGCTGCTGTAACGTGCACAATATTGGCTGGTGCTGGTCCACAACGTTCCCGTGTTCTTGCTACTCTGTACAAGGTATCATTTTTGTCATCTCATCTCAATGTACTTGGATTACGTGCTGGCAGTATCTACCCTCAGCTGTGCTTTACAATTGTGAGCAATGGAATACAACTCTCTAGATATATTTTGTGTTAAATGCTTTGGATTTGTTCATCTCAGTTATATAAACATATGTTGCAAGCTTATTATAGTTTAGTCAAGCTGTAAACTGTAATATTCATCTCACTTGTTCTCTGTCAAGGTGATGCAACAAATACCAATTAATCTGGGTGCTTATGTCTTATCTGGTAAATATGGGCTGACAAAAATTCTAGCTTCTGGCTTGAGCTGGGTGGTTTCAGATCTTTCCCAGTGCAATTAGTGTGTATATATGCATTTTTAGGTCTTGTAATCTAGATGTTTGGGTTCAACTTTGAGGCTGCGAGTCCACACCTTATCTATCGTGTTTGTCTCTTTTGCTTTATTTACACTCGATGCATTTATTTTGCCTCTTATTGCATTATGCCCCTTTCAGGATGAAAGATGCTCGAAGTTGAAGATATACCCAATACTGCAGAAGGTTTGTGTTATTAGTAATTAATCTCTAGGCATTATATCCTGTAATGTAATTTTTTCTTTGCTGATAATGACAAGTCTTGCCCAAATCTTTCAGGTTTATCTTGAAAGGATTTTGAGGAAACCAGAAATTGATGCATTTGCAGAGGAGCTGAGGCCGCATCAAGTTAGTTGACCTCTATATGCTCGATTTTAAAACAATGTGTTATCTATGATGTCTTAACAGTTCGTTTTGTTTCAATCTACAGAAAGCTTTATTACCAGATAGGTCGACTGTGCTTGACCGAGCAATGATCGAGCATAATCTCCTTAGCGCCAGTAAACTTTACACAAATATCAGGTGAACTGACTTGCCCATGTTTACTAAATTCATTAGGATCTAATCTTGCTAATCAAACATCTTATTTCTGCAGCTTTGATGAGCTTGGGACATTATTGGGGATTGATCCAAGGAAGGTAAGCCCCTTTGCAGAGATATTTCTCTCCTTGTCTTCACATCTTCTCAGCCCTTCAGTCAATCTGGAGTGTTTTAGCTCTGTTTTTATATATGAGGAAAACTACCGTGAAGACTTAGTAAGTATGCACTGGTGTTTAAATCCAGGGGCTAAAGTTTAGGGGTGTCACATCGGGTGTCACATGGAGGTGTCACATCGAGTGTTTGGATAGTAATAATAAAACAAATTACACAAGTCCTCAGTAATCCGCGAGACGAATTTATTAAGCCTAACTAATCCGTCATTAGCACATGTTTACTGTAGCACCACATTGTCAACTCATGGACTAATTAGGCTTAAAAATTTCGTCTCGCAAATTAGTCTCAATCTGTGCATTTAGTTTCGTAATTAGTCTATATTTAATACTCCATGCATGTGTCCAAACATCTCATGTGATAGGGGCTAAAGTTTAGGAGGGGGAAATAAACAAGCCAACGTTTTATTTCCCATGAGCTGGAAAGTTTTGTTTGGCCTAGCTTATACTTAAGTTTATATATATATATATTTATATATATATATATATACACACACACACACTGATGATGTATTATTACGTGTTTACTTGCTTACGTTGGTATATGTGCAGCACCTAAAAGCTGCATTGTAGATGAATCCTTTATATCATGAGTACCAGACTACAGATAGTCATTTCAGGTTCCAGTATGTTTTGTGATTTTCCAAATTTGATCGTAGTTCCCAATATTTGGATATTGACAGGCTGAGAAGATAGCATCCCGGATGATTTATGAGGATAGAATGCGGGGTTCAATTGATCAGGTGCTTAAACAAGTTCTTTTCTTGAAATGACCTATCTGATGTTGAAGCCTAAAAATTTGTGTGATAGATTTGCCCTTGTATGTTAATAGTGATTTGAACCATGTTCGCCCAAATATTTTCTGTTGGTTCTCAGGTTGAGGCTGTGATACATTTTGATGATGACACCGAAGAGCTACAGCAATGGGATCAGCAGGTTAGTATCACATAAGCGTCTCATGTCATGGAAATGGAAAATTGGAAAGACAATGCACGCAGACAAATCTGCACTCACTTGTAGCACAGATTCCTCACGTTGTTTCCACAACCTCCTGCTATTTGACACCTATGCCAATTATTATTTTCAAGAAAATTGATTAATCGGCCTGATCGGTTGTGCTTGCTTGATACTTGCAGATTGCTGGACTGTGCCAAGCCCTGAACGACATCCTTGACAGCATGTCAAGCAAGGGAATAGCTATTCCGGTGTGAACAAATATCTCATCCTGTCGGTCGATGGTACTTGGCAAAACTGCTTTCATGTCCCCCGGAATCCAGAATCAACATTTTGTATAGTTTGCAGCTGCAAATGTGTATCTTGTGATTTTGGAACCATTTGTTAGAATACAATCGTCTAATGCAAAATCTGGGGGAGGATGCGTGTTCAAGTAACGCTCACCAGGTTATCATTGGGTTAAATTTCTTATACTGCCTCTCTGGACAAACAATTATGGAAACTTTGTCCATGTGTTGTCTTTTTAACTACGACATCAAGAGCAATCCTTTAACTACGACATCAAGAGCGATATGACTCCTTTGATGTTAAAGTGAACCGGGATGAAGGATGCACGAGCACTCGAGCAGCACAGTATAATTAGTTCATTAGTAAGCTCTACCAACGTAACCGCTGGATTGATTTCATTCAAGTCTTTCCGAATGCCTTGTACCACTGCGGCATCAAGAGCACTCCTTATGATTCAGGAATCCGCATGATTGGCATCAAGAGCACTCCTATGATTTATGATTCAGTGAATCCGCATGATTTGGCATCAAGAGCACACCTATGATTCAGTGAAGCGGCATGGGATGGAGGATGCACGAGCACTCGAGCAGCATGCTATTCTGTAGTCTAGCAACGTAGCAAGCAGCAGCACGCATGAACACTGAAATCTGCTTATTTATGGTACATTTCATACAAGCGGGATCTAAACCCAGCAACACAGTTTATCAAACGACACAACAAACACATCACGACCTACATAGCCGACTGATCGACTTGGCAAGTGGCCATCTGTACGAGGCCCCCTGTTTATTTGTACGGAACAGAGGCTACAGCCATTGCTCGGCTGCTCGCTCAGCCACTCCTGAACATACCAGCACGGTAGCGTTTGTTCAGTTTCTTGGACAAGCGATACGGCGGCTCGTCACCTCCCTCTCCCTCTTCCCTCTCTGGCTCGTCTTCGTCTCCACGTCCGCCTCCACGTTCTTCCTCCTCCCTCCGCCGTTCTTCCTCTTCCCTTTCTCTTTCTTCCTCCTTCCTCCTCGCCCTCTCTTCCTCTTCTTGCTCTCTCCTTGCCTTCTCTTCTTCCTCTCTCCTCCGCTGCTTCTCCTGCTCCTTCCTGGCTCGCTCCTCTTCCTCCTCCCTCCGCTCTTCTTCCTCCCGTTTCTTCCTCTCCTCCTCCTCCTCCTCCCGTTCCCTCTCCTTCTCCCGCTCTCTCCTCTCTTCTTCCTCCCGTTCCTTCCTCTCCTTCTCCTCCCGTTCTTTCCTCTCCTTTTCCTCCCGTTCCCTCCTCTCTTCCTCCTCCCGTTCCTTCCTCTCCTTTTGCTCCCGTTGCCTCCTCTCTTCCTCCTCCTCCCGTCGCTTCTTCTCCTCCTTCGCTGCCTTCTCCTCCAGCTCCTCGGCGCACGAAATGCACGACAGTATCGTCGAGTCGCGCTGCGCGGACAGCAGCTTGTCCACGGCGGTCGAGTTGGGCTGCCCCAGCGCCAGCGACAGCACCTTCTTGCCGATGGCCTGCAGCACGGACCCCTTCCCGGCCAGGAACTGTGGGTGGTTCTGCCCCATGTGGGTGCTGAACCCGACGAACACGAACGAGTCGTTGTTGAACGACGTCTGCGCCATCGGGTGGAACCGCGGCACCACGAAGACGTCTCCTTCCTTCACGCGGAACACCGAGTTCCTGCACTGCCACCGCGAGCGGCCGCCTTCGTCTTCGTCCTCGTCGCCGCGGCCTCCTGGCCCGCCGCGCCGCTTGTGCCCGTGGTGCCCTTTCCTGGTTCCGCCCGACGGGGTGCTGCTCGGGCACACCGTCTGCACGATCCCTGAGCCGTCCGTCACGATGGCGATCTCCGTCGCCTTGGGGTTCCAGTGAGGCCCCATCATCGAACCCTGCAATTGCAAACAAACGTACAACCCAGTGGATCGTCGTTGATACCATTAGCACTGCACGGTGCAAGAACCATTTGACGTCCGTGCTGATAGATTAACATGGCGAGCTGAGATTATTAATCGCGTGATGGATTACCGTGGTCAGGTTCACCATGAACATGCCAATGTTGGATCCGTGCAGGGCGTCGAGGTCCTTGTTGGTCATCGTCCGGCTCCACCCGTAGCAGTTCTCGACGTCTGGCTTGCCGGAGTAGAAGTTGAACGCCTTGCTCTTGGATTTCTTGTCCTTGTCCTTGCCCTTGTGCTTGTCCTTGTCCTTCTTCTTCTTCTTGTTCAGGAACTCCTCCGGATCGCGCACTCCCAAGAGCGCGTCAACGATGTCCTCAGTCCAGCTGGGTTTCTCGTCCCCCTTCTCCTCTGGGTTGTAGGCTATAATTTGTGGCGGGGTCGGCGCAGATTTGATCGCTTCTACCACCTCTGGTTTGACCTTGTGAAAGATGCGACCGATTAACTTGCTGATCACCAGGCGTATGAGTACCATGTACGGCCGGGGCAGTATGCAAAAGTACTTGAGTACACCAGTTTTCACTTACCCCAAATCCTTGGCGAAGAACATCAGTCTCGAACCCTTTGACAAGATTACTGACGCTGGAATAAGCTTCCACCTTGGGCTTCTGCTTTGACACACAACAATCACAAAGTGTACCGAGGGGTCAACCAAATGCAGAGGAAGGATCGGAGGTTCATTACCGAGGGATCATCGGCGTTGATGCCTTCGCTGGTGAAGATGGCATAGATCCGAAGACGCTGTCTCCTGGCGTTGGGGTAGCTCTGGATGTACAAGATGCTCCCCTGCTCAAAGTTGTAAACGACTCCTCGCTCCACCTCAAGGGAACTCTGTTCGCTGCTCTCTTCTTCTATGAAAGTCACCTTACCCCGACCTGTCTCACAAATCAGACAGTTTGAAAGTTAGCTAGTCGCACAGACGGTATATGTAGCTTCTAGCCTTCTACAGACAGTACACTAGTGTTTGGTAATCAGAAAGGTTGTTCTACCAAGGACATGTAACTGGTGCTTATTAGTAAGTGCCAAATACATGTATCTGCTTGTGTTACTAATAAGTGCGTAAACAGCAAGCATGTCACGTCACCTACCGCTGTGAACGTAGAACACCATGTCGGCATGCAGCTGCACGGGCAGAAACAGCGCCCCGGGGTCCATGGTGATGAAGTGCAGCCGGTACGCCGTGCCCGCCGCGTCGGCGACGTCCACGGCCGTGACCGAGCCGGCCTCGCTCTCCGCCACCGCACGCCGCCTCTCCTTCTCCACCACCTGGCCGCCCACGGCGCCGCTCACCCTCCATCTCTCGTGCTGATGCTTCTTCCCGGACGACGCCGCGGCCGCCGAGACGGCGGCCAGGAGCAGCAGCAGGAGCCACGACCGAGCAGTCGTCGCCACCGCCATGACCCAAGCTATTTGTTAGGCAGCTAGAATCTCTGTTCTGTTTTCCCCGTCGCGGCACGGTCTGCGATCTGCAGTGTGTTGGAGCTCGCTTTGGGCCGCTTGATAAGCAGCTAGGCTTGCGCCCTCGGGGACGCTGCGTGCATGCGACGTGGGGGGACGCTGGCGCTGTGACCGTGCATGGGCGAGACGTGGCGCCGTGGCGACGGAGGGTGGTGGTTGCCGGTGTCGTGTCGCGTGAGGTGTGCCCCGTTCTCAGCCACTTGGCCCGGCCCAGCGCGGTGAGGTGGACTACGCGCTGCGTTCGGATAATCGGATTTGTACATGGCATGTCTGCGGCGAAATTTTCGACTACGGTGTTGTGCTGCGTTCTGTGGATATATACGTGGCCTATCTGGGATTGAGAAGCAATACTTTCGCGAGCGTGAGAGGTTCAGAAATCAAAAACTGATTTCACGTTTTGAGTGACGAGTACTGGCGTGAGAGGTTCAGAAATCAAAACTGATAGTTGGCCAACGGGCTGGCCCACGAACAGGCCAGGGCCGGCCCGCAGGGGTCGTGCCGGCATGGCACGCCGTGCCTCCCGGGCCGTGTCCCTCCGGATCTTGTGCCTGGCCTTCAGCCCAAACACAGCCCTACGAGCCGAAATCCGTGTCGTGTCAGCCCACAGCCCGTTGCCCTTAAAACACTTCAAACTGCTTCTCTCATCCAACACTTCTCTATTTTCACAATCACATTTCACAATTCATTCATATTTTAGTATTTTACATTCACAAGTTATAAACTGATCACAGATTCTAAATTCTAACAAAAGCCACTAAAGGAGACAAGAGAATTAAGATAACTGAGCTATTTGTGCAATGCTGGCTCATTAAAAACTTTTCTAGATAAAACTCACCCTTGTGAGAAACCCTAGAAAGAGAAAAAAAAGTGCAGCACAGCTCTTAATTTAGTCTTAAACCATTGTTCACCAGTATCAGTCACACATCACAGATACAAAGACAACAGATCACTCTTAAGTCTCACAACTCTCAAGTCTCACACACTAAGTACCAGCAGAAGCCACAGATGCAGATGCAAATCCAGATGTGCCAGCCCCAGATATGTCAGCAGCAGCAGCCCCAGATGCATCTTCATCAAGATAAAAGATTCTTAAAGGAGTCTTCCAACTCTTGGTTATCAACAGCATGCTGTAACCTTCTTTCTCCTAACTCCCAATCTTTTATGCAAGCCAGCATCTCCACAGTTTCAGGCAACAAGCGTCGTCGTCGCTCTTCAATTATCCTTCCTGTGAAGCTGAAACATGATTATGAAGAGACGGTAGAAACAGAAACAGACATAATATCTATAGCCATTATAGATATGATATGATAGGTTAGCTTGTGGTCACGCCACCAGAGAAGTAAGTCGAAATCATTCTCATGTACAGTGACATGGTCACTGTCCAGATAAGATGTGAGCTCACAACCAGCAACAGAAGCAGATTGAGATGAAGTGTGGGCAGAGGCAGGGGAAGGACCAACAACACCGGATGATCCAGGGCCTCCAAAGATTCTTCCCCATGTCTGTTTTTTCTTACCTGTATGGCTTGCAGCTGTGCAGGCCTCTGAGACCTAGCTACACCAAACTTTCTCTCATATTTGTTAAACAACTTGTAAATAGCTTACTAAGATCTCTAGTGGTGGTCTGTCTAGAAACCTTAGTAAACCTAGGGTTATGAGCACGAACAATGTACTCCCATGCATCTGTCTCACCAATACCCAACGACAAATCAAGCCTAACAATCAAGTGACACAATTCAGATCTAGCAACATCAGGTTTATAGTCCCAGTTATGCATAGAACCATCAGGATTGTAAGTAAGCCCAGACTGAACCCTAGCAGCTTGATCAGTTTTCTACTTATAAGATTTCTGATGCCTCTTCAAGTGGCTAGTGCCAGCATTAGATCTAGTAGACAAAGTATACTTACACATTTTATAGGTAGCTTCAGTGTAGATTTTCTACCATTCACAGTCCATTAGATCTCATCAATATCGGCCCACAAAGTAGATTTACGCTTACCAGTACCAACACCACAAGAATTACCAACAACAGATGGAGCTGAGCCGTTGGAGCAGGTCAGGGTCCCAGTCGCCGTCGCCCCTTCACCACCGTCGCCGTTCAGATCGATCGTGAAAGGATCAAGATGTCCAAGAAAGGGGATGAATTTGACTAATTCTAAATTTCTTTGCAATAATTAAACTCTACGGTTAGCCCAATTAATCCCTTGTGCCTAGAAAGTGTTTCTATTGATCTAACGCACAAAAGTTTTGCAACTTAAGTTCTAATCCTACTCTAGCATGACAATTCTAAGAATGTAAATGACAAAAATTAAATTGCTCAAAGTAAATGCTCAAAGTAAACAGAGAGGGAGGAACGCGGCGATGTTTTGCCGAGGTATCGGAGAGTCGCCACTCCCCACTAGTCCTCGTTGGAGCACCCGCGTAAGGGTGTAGCTCCCCCTTGATCCGCGCAAGGATCAAGTGCTCTCTACGGGTTGATTCTTTGATACTTCATCGCGGTGAATCATCCACAACCGCTCACAACTTGAGTTGGGTCATCCACAAGCTCCGCCGGATGATCACCAAGCTCCCAATCACCACCAAGCCATCTAGGTGATGGCGATCACCAAGAGTAAGAAGCACGAACTCTCACTTGACCACGACAAGCCTAATGAGAAGGGTGGATGCACACTTTGCTACTCTTGATCTCACTAATGAGGGCTCTCTTTGGGATTATCAAATCTCAATCACCTCACTAGGATCTTACTCTTCTTGGCACTCTCAAAGGTGTTTCTCAGCTGTTGGAATGAACAAAAGTATCTCCATACACGAATGGAGGAAGTATTTATAACACCGGCTGAAAAACGAACCGTTATGTGCCTCTGTGGGGTTACCGGACGCTCCGGTCATGTTGACCGGACGCTCCGGTCAGTTCACCCCGAACTCCAGTGTTTAAAGTGTGACCGAACGCATCCGGTCGTAATTTTCCCTCTCTAGAACCTTACTGGAGTCGACCGGATGCTGGCCCTCAGCGTCCGGTCACTCACCTCTCAGCGTCCGGTCGCGCCAAACGACTTCACCTTGATCAAATGAACTGACCGGACTCTACGCCAGCGTCCGGTCATACCGGAACTAGCGTCCGGTCAGTATTTGACCCTCCATTTACTTCCAACTCTCGATCATACGTGAATGAAGTTTGCTCTATTAGATCTAAGGGCTATTTTGGAGCTATATAGTGCTAGATTTAGCAAGTGTGCACCACACCTAACTCACTAGACTCACCTAGGTCAAGCTATCCGTCCATACCCCCCTTAATAGTACGGCCAAAGGAAAAACAAAGTCCTAAACTACTCTAAGTGTCTCTTCAACTCCAATCGACATTTAGAACTAGTCCATCCTTAACCTTGTCGTCCATCATTTGAAAACCGAAACGATTTCCATCGTAGGGGCATGACCACCATGATTGCCCAATCGATCTCCATTATCATGACCTAACTTAATTGTCTCTGCAAAATACACGTTAGTCATAGTAATCATGTATTGTCATTAATCACCGAAACCCAACTAGGGGCCTAGATGCTTTTAGATCGGAGCAACAGAGCCGCCATCGACATCGATACCGAACAAGGCAGCAGCGTCCTCATGGGTGTCGTCGTCGTCCTCAGGGGCTAGGCCTGCCGTGATCAGATCGTTGTTGTCGGTGAGCGGCCAGACGATCTCGTCATCAGCACCAGCCATGGCGCCCTCGACCGTAGAGGTCTCTCCAGCACCGTTCCTCAATGGTGCGCGGCGCAGCCTTGGTCGCTCTATGACACAGCTAGAGGATAACGCATCGACCACCGACCTGCGTAAAGAGATGGAGGATGAAAAGAACATATTAGAATAGATCAATCATCAATGGAAGAAGAGGAGGGTTAGGGTTAGGGTTAGGGTTGTACCTGCGCAATCGGAGTCCGGTGCCGAAGAAGACGAGGGCCACCTAAAGAAGACGACACACCGGTTAGAAGGACGGCGAGCAACGGAGGAGGGATAGACGGGGAGTCGGGGACACAAACTCACATAATCACCGAGATCAAGAGGGGAGATAGGGAGAGGGAGAAGGGAGAGGCGGAGAGGGAGGGGGTTAGGTAGGAGGAGATGAGGAGTAGGGAGCAGCTCGGCGGTGGCAGGCGGATCGAGGTCATCGGAGTCGGGGAGGTCGGACGCCACCAGCAGACGAGACGGCCAGGCGAGAGCGGTGCGGCAAGGGGAGTGGAAATGATTTAGGGTTTGGGGTGAGGGAGAGGGTGTCGCGTCTGCGCGCTTATATATGAGGGAGGGAGGCGGAAGGAGCCATTAGGGCTGCGCCGGTTGGCAGGCCGTGGGGGACTGAGGGTGGGGGAGGGATGCCGGGCCGCTACCGGGCCAACCCTTGTAGGTCGGGCCATACTGTGCCAACCCATGGGCTTGAGCTACGGCCCAGGCACGGCCTGTACCCCCAGGCCGGGCCGGCCCGGGCCCGCTGACCATCGGGTTGTGCCATGCTTGGGTCGGGCCAAAAATGCGGGTTTCGTGCCGGGCCGTCGTGCCTCGGGCTGCATGGACATTTTTTAGTACTGCAAGTGAGATTCACGCAAGTTTTGGGCTAGTCTCACCGATTGTTTTTTCCATTCTCCAGCGAATTCCAACATAGTTCGTAGAAAATCCAAAGTATAAAACAATGGACAAAAGGTGGGGGTGATCATCAGCGGCTGGAAAGGGCCGACCGAGGGGCAGTCGTCGAGCGTGGATTTGTGTGTTTTGTTTGGTGCAGGACAAGGACAAATAAGTAGGCTAGCAAAAAGGAATTTTTGGGCCCTTCCGTGTTGTGGCGTGCGTGATCTTTCACCTTCTCACTCAGCGAAGATGATGGGCTATCTCCCGTTCTTATTGGGCTTTGTGCAGTGGGTTGCTGCAGCTCGTCTTCTGACCTAAATTTGTTGAGTTTTGTTAAAAAAAGAAAACCTAAATTTGTTGAGTTTTCCTTAAAAAACCTAAATTTATTGAGTTTTCCTTAATAAACATCTAAACTTCATTGATTAGTGGCGCAGCCAAAGTTTAGACATAGGAAGGCCGTTCAAACAATCAGCAATTACGCATGATGAAATACATATACGGCAACAATATATCCCCTCCAATCCAAAATGAATGTTCTCTCTTTATAAGGGGTCAGTCCATCTTACCTTACATCAAATTATAAAAAAAGGTATTAATAACTATGATGCGTAATAAGTATCATTAGATGGATAATTGAACCTCTTATAGGTCTTGTTCGTTTTCATAATATATCTCTTTTGGAGATACAAATGTTGATAGTATTTTTTTATAAAAACGGACAAACTTAAGAAATTTTAATGTAGTCTAAACCTATGATGGTATTTTTTAGGACTGAGGGAGTACGTAACAATCAAATAAAATTGAAAACCTAAAAAAAGAACACCGAATGTTATAGAGGAAAACAAAATATCACTAATTAGCCCTAGGTCTGTAACCTTCCCTCCACCACCACACCTTGTTAGTCATCGATGGTATTTTATTGAATATCAAACTTGTGGGGGTGTATCATCTCGGTCCCCGAACTCAGAAAGTGTCATTTCGGTCCTTAAACTCTGTTTGGGACTCATATTCATCCAAACGGATATGAAGACGGGTACGAATCATATCCGTTTGGATGAATATGAGACCCAACTAAAGTTTAAGGATTAAAATGACACACCCTGACAAGTTCGTGGACCGGCGAGAGAAGATGAAGACTAGGATATTGCTGGCGTTGTCTCGCATGCTGCAGGTTCTTCTGACGCCGGTGTCGGCGAGACGCCGCCACCGATGGATTGGAAGGAGACTCAGGACGCGCATGTGTTCATGACGGACGTCCCGGGCCTGGCCAAGCAACAGGTGGTCGTCGAGCTGGTGGATGGCCGCATCCTCCGCATCTACTGCGGCAAGAAGGACAACGGCGCCAATAAGGGCGGCCTAGCGGTGGGTCACGAGGAAAAGAAGGAATAGGAGGGGGACAGAAATCTTCTCTAAAAGAAAGAGCAATTGATTGATAAAAGAGTAAAGTTTATGGGCAGTCCTCGAATTTATAGAGGTGTGTCATTTCGCTCCTTAAACACTGCTTGGGTCTCATATTCATCCAAATAGATATGAATTCGTACCCGCCTCTATATCCGTTTGGATGAATATAAGATCCAAACAGAATTTGAAGACCGAAATGACACTTTCTGAGTTTGAGACTGGGATGACACACCTCACAAGTTCGAGGACCGGCCATGTACTTTACTCCCATTGAATTATTATTACTAGTTAAATATGGGTTCAGTAAAATATAAAATATAACGAATCATATATTAGTAAATCTAAAATTTCATTAAATATATCTTAATATGGTAGGCAAACAAATATAGTTGAATTAGATATTTTATTTTAATTGTGTCTTGTATGATTTTCTTTTCCAGAAGGCATCAATAAATACATATGACAAGAATATTTTATCATATCTTTTTTATATTAATATAGACTATTAAGCTATATATTAAGTAAAAAATTATAGTTATGTTAGGGGGCATTGGCCCCTGTTGGGGGAAGCCCCGTCCTTTCGCTGGCCCTGCCTTGCCGTCTAGGTTTTCGCCAAGACCCTTTCAAGAATTAACACCTATTGACAAGATTGCCCTTGTACCTTTCGCATTCCGTGAGGGCAAAAGCCCTTTTGAGCATGGATGGCGACATCTACTCGATTCCGTGGGTACGAGTATCATCAAGGGGCCGCCAGGGCGAAGTAATCCTCCAACTTGACGCGAATGCTCTTTCACCCAAGCGGTATTTTCGTTGCTTAGTCATGTTGTGTCATGTAGGTCGGCTACTTTCGCAGGAGATGGGAAAAGGAAGAGGCGGCCGTGAGAATGATGGAATGAAGGTTTCTTGGACGCCCCCTGGCGTCAGCTACGGAGCGGAGGGGGGACAAGGCGAGGAAGGCGCTTAGCGGGGGAGGTCTAATGCAGGGCGGACCAAAGACACCTCAGCGAATCAGAATTTGCCACAGAATCTGGGTAGTTGGAGGGGCATTTATGCCCATATAAAAGATACATATATGTATAAATAGTGCTCTAGGAGCATTGTAAGAGATAAGAAGAAACCCTAATTCCTTCTGTGGCCTTTCAAGTGCCTTTTCATCTTTTCGCGTTCCTTTCATTCATTATTGTGCTTTCGGTTACTTGAGCAACAGCCTAATGTTCGAGGGCTAAGGCCTAGAACAACAACCCCTGCCCTCTAGCTCCGCCTCTGCGCTGAATCTCTACTCCTAAAGAGATGGTACAGGAATCGTCAACACTCCTCTACTCGCACCGCCGGACTCCGGGTAACGATTTCAAAAGAGTCGTCTAGCCAACAACTGGTTGTTTTAGTCTCTCCTAACAACCAGATTTTTGCAACTGCACTTACATTGTCTTATAAGTATATTTACACCGCTATTTACAAATGATTTCTTCAGTGTAATTTATTGAACAGAGTGATGTAATTTGGGAATAATACGAATATATGTCAAATTTTTAGAAAAAATTATAAATTATTTCTATGAATTGCAAATAGCAGAGAAATATATGTCAAATTGTTCACAAATTTCAGATAAATCAGATTCTCTGTTTATTCCGTCGTCGTCGTCCTTCTCGCCGGTGGGTATCCTCTGCGGCTCTGCTTCCTTGGGTCTCTTCGCTAGCTAGCTGCCTAGGACTCGGCATTCTCATCGGCGTAGATGCTCCTGGAGACCTGAACCTGGCCCACGCTTGCTTCTGGCCAGGCCAGGCGACGGTAACAGGTCGAGCCCCTCCCGCGTCGCTTTCCAGCAAATGGCACCGGCCTGATGGACGGCGGCGTCGTTTACGGCTCCGTTCGCGTGCTTTTAAATCGGGTTTAGAACTGTTTCTTTTTTCATACGAAACAATATTTTTCTCTCATAAATTCCTCCAAAATTCCTTCAAACCATTCAAATTTCTCCGGAACGTCATGCAAATTTGCGTGGGCCACACATGATCTCCCGCCAGGGTTCATGAGCTGCGTGGCTTGAGGTTGCCGAGGCGGGGCTCTTGAATCGCAGCAGGGGTGCGAATCGCGGAGAACGGAGGTCTCGCGATGCGAGCTAGGGAGCAGCGTAAAATCCGGTTGTTAACGGCTCCGAAAACTACCAGTTGTCTGTTAGCAATCCTGTTTCAAAACCCTACCCCAGACTCCAACAGTACCAAAATAGGAGAAGAATGATTTCCTTATTGGGTTGACAATCTAATCCAAATCTTTCTTTCACCCATTCCAGTATTGTTGTATATTAGTTTCTGAAATTTTTGTTGCCTGGGTTTCAAAAATTGTTGCTTGAGCTGGTAACTTGCTCGACAGAATGCCTACCCTTGCCTGTTGTAGTTGTTTACCTATTTCGTGTATGCAACAAGTCCTGCATCAAAGTGTCATATTGTTAGACAGGCTTTACTCTTGATTGGAGACACTACATGGTTACTGTACACTGACAGCCATTCCCAGCTGAGAGGATAGCACATCTAACAATGGGTAGATTAGCTTTCATCATATATCCAGTACAAGAACAAAGCCGAGAGTTTTGAATTGGTTCTGTTATTATGGCACTGGAAAATGCAACCTAAACAATGAAAGTGTCTAACTTCCCGTGTAACTTTTCCTCCCTAAAGATACCTCATCAAGTGTTTTTTTTCCCGTAAGAGAAAATATTTAACGGTAGCTGTTCTTTTGGAATGCATCAAAATATGTTGGTTTCCCAACAGCTTGCATGTAGGATGTCTGACAACATGTTTAGGTTGCATTTAGCTTCATCTTCTATTTTGTTTATTATAGCGAGTTTCAACGCAGAGGCGGTGCTAGGGGTAACAATTTTAAAACCCCTACCCCCAGACTCCAGCTGCAAAACTACGACTCTGGCTAATATAACAATTCTATACGTCTAAATTTTGGTTGCCTATGGTCAGATCTTGCTCTCTGCGTCGTTGTGCAAGAAACATCAAGCAGCCGCCAGCAGCCAGCGTATCGATGATGTACGAGAGGCTTTACAGGACAAGCTACCTTACAGTCATAATCAACACTTCAATTTGTAGAATCAGCAACAATTTCACAGTTTTAGTTGCCATTACTCAAGACCCAAATTTGCCAACGAGTCCCTCTTCGAGTCTTGACCCTGTTGCTAAAGATCTCCCATGGCCACGGGTCCCTAATCAGTAATTACAGAATTTGCGGATTCGGCAGGGTGAAAAGGTTCTTCACATATTATACTCGACAGGGTGGAAAAATCGACTGTTGGAGAGGGAGAAACGCGCTAGTAACATATAGAGTTTCTTATCCTTTGTAGAAAGGATATGTAAGTTGTGCATGCGTTCAGTTCGAGCAGCTTTGCCGCACGTTCCCTTGCGAATTGACAAATCGGACCACATTCCCAACTCGGCAGTTCGTGTTATACAATACTAGCGTGCGTACGTACTAGCAGATCAGGTCACGGCTGGCTACTACTCAACTCAGTGGACTTCTTCTGCCCATCGTGTCCATCTTCCTTGTCCTCGCCGTGATCGCCACCGCCGAAGAGCTTCTCGGTGTCCTCCAGGCTCCTGCCCCTCGTCTCCGGTAGGAAGAAGAACATGAAGATCCAGCCGGCAGCAGCGATGCCGGCATACAGGTAGAAGCTCCCGGCCAAGGTGATGGCCTTGTAGAGCGAGATGAAGGACATGGTTATGGCGCCGCTCATGATCCGGTTCATCGCCGTGCCAAGCGCGCAGCCCTGCGCGCGGAGCCGCAGCGGGAAGATCTCCGAGCTGTACACCCACGCGATCGGGCCCATGCCGATCGAAAAGGACGCCACGAACGTGAGCACCGCCGCGATGCTCACGCCGGCCAGCGGCGTCGCATGGCCCTCGGGAAGCCGGTCGATGGCGTGCAGCGCCGAGGCCAGCGTCACCAGCGACACCACCATCCCGCCCGCGCTGGTGAGCAGCAGCGGCCTCCGCCCGACGCGGTCGAGGAAGAACGTGGCCACCAGGATGAACAGCGTCTTGGACGCGCCCACCGCCATGGTGGCGCCCAGGGAGTTTTCGTCCGACGTGAGCCCGGCCTTCTCGAACACCCGCGGGCTGTACAGCACCACGGAGTCGATGCCGGAGGCCTGCTGGAAGAACTGGAGGCCGAGGCAGGCGATCAGTATGCGGCGGACGGGCGGCGTCGGGCGGATGAGGAGGTCCCTCCACACCCCTTCGCCATGGCTGCCCTGCTTGTTCCTGCGGTCCACGACCACCACTTCGTCGTCGTCGTTGTCACCGACGCCGTCCGGGATGCCGATGGCCTTCTTGATGTCGGCGAGCCGCTCCTCGGCCTCGGCGGGGAGTCAGAGGTCTTGGCCAGCACGCGACGCGCGTCGCCGATGCGGCCCTGCATGACGAGCCACCGCGGCGACTCCGGCATGGCGAGGACCCCCAGGGCGAGGAAGAACGGCGGGACGGCGCCGACGAGGAACATGACGCGCCAGCCGAGGTGCACGGGGAGGCCGTGGAAGGCGTAGTTGGAGACGTACCCGAGGAGCAACCCCGTGTTGATGAACACCTCCGGGAAGGACGTGAGCAGGCCGCGCGCCGACGTGGGCGCCACCTCGGCCGTGTACACGGGCGCGATCATGAGCGCGTACCCGACGCCGACGCCCGCCACGAAGCGGCCCAGCATGAGGATCCCGTAGCCCGGGGCGAGGCCCATGATGAGCGCGCCCGCGAAGAAGGTGGCCGCCGCGAGCACCATGGTGTACCGTCGGCCGATCCAGTCGGACGTCCGGCCTGCCGCGAGCGAGCCGACGAGCGAGAAGATGTTGATGATGCCGGCGAGGATCTCGATCTTCGTGTCACCGATCTTGAGGTCCCGCTTCATGAATAGCTGCGCTCCGCTCATCACAGACACATCTGCATACATACATAAGAAGGATCAGATCATCAGAACCTGAGAAATAATAGATTGACTAC